AAAAAAAAAAAAAGTTTTGACGAAACGCTGTGTGTGTACAATCGACGAAATAAAAATCCTGCGGCATGTCACTATATACGAATACGCGTACTCTGATTTCAAAACGTTCTTCCTCCTTTCTCTTTCCTCACTTCCTTATTCATCCCACATCGGACCAAGTTCCCTGCGCGTCACCGAAACAAAGGAGTGACACATGCAAATCTCGCGGCGGGCGATCGGACCGACGGGATACGACGAGGATGAGGACAAGTTCATATGCGCGACACGGAAATACATATATATATGTATATATCTCTTCCCACTGAAGGTATATGATAAACGCTGCAGTGTCATCGCGCGCGGTACCGCAAATCCAACAAAAAAAAAAACAAAAACAAATTGCTGCGGCGACTTCTGCTCGATTCGCGTCGTTCGTGAGACAGTCAGCGTTTATCGTGTACATTAGATTCGCGAATTACGATATAATAATACCGCACAATATTTCCTCATCTCGATTAGTTTGACGTATTAATGATATTTAGTCCAGCCGTCTCGTCGTGTCCTCCGGTTGGTTTCTAACATTTCTACAGGGTAAAATAAAAAAAATATAAAAAAAAAAAAAAAACAAAAATCACACGCTAAAAGATAATCCCAGAACGAAAAACGTCAGGAGTATAGTTGAGCGAAGTATCTAGGCAATCGATATAATTTAAACCTACGAACACTATTTCCTATAATTATAATAAGAGAAAGAATGACAGAAGATCCACACAGAGTCGATTACAGAAAATAAAAGAGATATGTATATGCAGAAGAAACGATAAACTACTGTAGCACAGGGAAATTGGATTTTTAGGAAATCTTCTTGATCCAGGGTAAATAATCCGAAGCTCGGTTTTTAGGGGCGGTATGTGACCGGGTCAAACCTGGCATTGAAACACTTTTAACCGAGGATCGATTAAGGCAATACTGAAAAGAAACAGAAAACCCAAAGGCGTCTCCGAGCAAATTCCGGCCGGGGCTTGTGACAAAAACGTCGGCCGAGCTTTTCTCGCAGGGATCCCTAATTGTAAACATAGCAGATACGGTGTATGTCTTGTGCGATTCAAATAAACGACATTGTTTTTAAATAATCTACATGGTCTACCCGAGTTCTGCTTATAAACCCTTTTATCTTTCCTCATTTTCTATTGACACTAACAGTTTAACAAATAAAGTATATCCTTCTCAAGAGAAGAATTTTTCTTGTATGTTAAGATAATTTAAGAAAAAACTTCAATGTTTAAACAAATTAAAGAAAAAAAATCTAGTCGATTTTAACAAGAGCGTTTTATCACTTTTAATTCGAAGAGCAGATGATAAATTTTTGATGATATTTGATGAGTAGTATTTATATATTGCGCGAAACACTCTGCGCGTGAATGTAATTGACTATATATATTTTATGGATAACCATGACTGATCGATTGCTCGAGAAAGATTCTCGCAGCTATCTGTTCGCGCCGTTAGTTTCCGATATGCCTTTGTCAGGCGTAGAAAGCTCGTTACATAAATTGTTTAACTCGTCCCAAGTCACTATCATTCGCGGCCTATTGCATTGCATAACACGTTTCGCAACGCTTTAAAATCCTGTTAAAATCAATTCGTTCCGTCACGTTTAAAGATCAAAAAGTACTTAGATGTCTTACTTATAACTTTACCAAATAAATAAAACGCAAATGTGTAACTTATAAATCTGAGATGATTTCTATTTTTTATTAATTTTAATTTGTCATTTTCTCGCGAATAATTCCAATAGAGACGTAAGGTTCGGAAACAATACGCAATATTTTATATTTACAAAATAGTGTATAATTTTTTACTATATAACTTTAAATAGGAATCAATTGCGCCATCTAGCGTGAGGTTACAATAATAGGTACGAAACTCAGGTGAGATGAAATCTACATAGGTATGTAGTAACGAGAGATACTCCGACGTATACCGGGTTGCCGGACTATACGTACACATCTCGTATCTTCGTCAAACGCTATAACGAAGTTGCGCAACAATTGTATCTTAAATATAAACGTTGAACGGCTCTGTAAAAAGCGTTATTAAGTACAGATATATTTTATTCACGTATTTAAATTATAATCTAATATCTTTCTTTTTATAGTAATTCAATAACTTACTTTTTCACACATTAGTTTGAAATAAAATTATAAAAATATTTAAAAAATTGTTGCTTGTAAAAGTTTACAATTAGTTTAAGATAGTTTAAGATAGTTTAAGATCAATACGAGTCAATGCGCTAAATATACGCGCCAATGTTTTTAAACGTGTACATTAATATACTTGGAAATTCGAATTTATTTTCATTCAAAAATTCATTTGATGCTTAATTTGCATCTCTAATATAAATTATCCATTGTAACCCGCTAAAAAATCTATTGCGAAAAAAGACCAGAAGTTGAATTTAGAATTTCTGTATTCCGTGCAGATTTTGTAAATTTTATAAAGGAGTAAAATAGATAAATTGTGAGTAATTTATATAGAAGATGCAAATTAAGCATCTTAGATTAGGTTTTAAATTGAAATCAATTCAAATTTCCAAATATATTAATTTACACGTTTTAAAAATATATTTGCACGTACATTTATTTACATAGGCTTGTATTGATCTTACACCAATCTTTAGTTATAAAAATATTGTTCGGACTTTTTATCTAAATTACAAAATATTTATATATTAACTCGATATTATCTATTTTCTCGATATATTCTATTTTCGCCTGCTGAGCTTTCGCATTGAGATCATTCCACAAATTCCTCGAAAACCTCAAG